GTACAGTCTCTCTCTAGATTCTCTATCTGAAAATAGGGTAAAATTGAGATCCCCAAAACTCTCGAGCACTAGAACAACTTGTACGTGTTGCTCAACTGCTTGCTCTAACTCAACATTAACAAAACGTTGCGTTTTGATGCACTGCTTCCAAAATAAATGACTTGCAGTATTACTCTTCACCAGACATAAACGAAATGTTGTTTATGTTCTTTTCTTCTTCTTGTTATTAATCATGAGTTTAGTTCAGAGATTATTCCTCACACAGAACGCCAAGCGAATCCAACCAAACGACGCCAAGTAACCAATCCTTGCAACGACGACGCTCACAGAGAAGAAATAGCGAGGAACAAAGCCATCGCGGCTATTGTCGGTGCCAGCGTGAAGAATGAGCAACGCTTTATGTTCGATGAGGTCGCAATGTCGTCCGCTAGACTGCCGCCGTCAAAGTGTCACGAGGCCGTCGAGAATGAGAAGATGTCGCGAAGTCGATCTCCATGATGAAGAGAGAGAGAGAGTAAAAGAAGAGAGAGGGGAAGATTGGAGAGAGATGATGGCGTTCCGACGGAGGCGGAGAGAGAGATAAAAGAGAGAGGGTAGAGACTAGAGAGAGAGTGAAGGACGATGATTGAAATAGGAGAGAATGAGAGAGAGAAAATAATAAGCTAGGATTTTTGCCTGTTAGGGATGATTTAAGGATTAAACTGTCGTTTTGATGTCTAAAAGTAGTTTTAAGAAAAGGCTATAATAATGAATAATTAGATCCAAAAGTAGAGAGAAATTTTCTCGTACACATTTCAAAGTCTTATTATAATAGAGTTTTTTTTTTTTTTTTTTTTTTTTTGAGAAGCCAGTGGATTTTACTAGAAGCTTTTTAGGTGATCAAAGCTCTCTCAGAGAGCTAATATTTTTATTAAAAAGCTAACCAAACGCTTCTTAAGTAAATTTTTTTTTTTTTTGGACTAAGGATGACTGCCGGGAAAATTAATGCCAAACAGACCCTCCATGCAATTTGCGAGCAATCTGCTTATAGATGAATGTGTACAGTCAACATACCTTTATTCGTACTCCAAGTGAGCTGATATCTGGACGCTGAAACTGAAAGCAGCCCTCAACGACACACATTGATAAGGTGCACGTCCATGGTCCCAATGCTTAATTCTCAAGATGTCCCACTTTGTCCATTTCTGCAATTTGCCCTGTGATACAGGCAATTGATTCTTTCTTTCCATATTTCTACTCCTTAATTCCTATATCCTTATTCTGGTTCTCCATCTTCTTGTTGGGCATGTGGCTCTTTTTTTAATTATTTTTAGAAAAAAAATGGAGAATTTACCTTAGGCGTATATGAGTCTAAATTTTTATCTTTTATTCTTGATAAATATCTTTTTATTAGTGTAAATATTTAATTAAAAAAGTTATGAATCAAAAATAAAAAATAAAAATTCTGACTAATACACTTTTAAAAGGTATTTGTCAAAATTACTCTTATTTTTAATTTTAGCCAATGTGGGCTTTGTTTATTCTTCTTCAAGAAACTTCTGGCACATTAATAATGAAAAAGTAGATAATTTATCCTTTAAAAATTAAAAGTATGAACTTTTATTCAAGTGATAAATTCTTTTTTGTTAGTCTAATTAATTGACTAAAAAAATTATAAATCAAGAATAAAAAATAAAAATTATAATCAAAAGTATTTATTAAAGTTACTCAATAATAATTGATACACACCCTTTTGGAATTTGGGGTCATTTCCCCTATTACTCGTGTGAATTATAGTTTGCCAATTCAGCTTGGTGGTCCTCCAACACCGCCCAAAGGAAAAATAAATAAATAAATAAATAAATAAAAGAGAGTTTGCCCATACTTGTTTTTGAACACTCTAGAAATTAAATTTTAAAATCCCAAATTTACAAAAAAAAAGAAAAAAGAAAAAAAAAAGGCACGGTATGTTCTTTTGTTAACTCGATTGTTAACACTTCCTTTTTTAATTGAAAAAAGACGTACTCCTCAAGTTTTTTGGCTTGTGTTGAATTTTGAAAAATGAAAAAACACAAAAATAAAAAATCATGGCAAGAAAACTACCCCGACCCAAACCTTCCCGTCGCCATACCTAATAAAAAAAGCATTTTTCATCTGCTCGATTCGCTAATTCAAATTTTTAATTTGAGTTGAGATGTGATGTTATATGAGAACTTTTTACTGTACTAAAAAAATTAAATATGATTGTTTCTGAGAACTTTTTACTATAATAAAACTCAAATCAGTGAAAAAAACGAGATCAAAGAACATGTAACTCAGGAGTTCCAAACTCGTAACTCATCATGACACAAGTACTTCTTAAAACGACATGAAGACTCAAAATTCAGAATTTCAAAATTGTGGACCCAAGTGCCGATATCTAAAAAGTTTGAGGATCTAGGAGCAATTTCTCTAAAAAAAAAAAAGAAGTACACCTAGATAAAAATCCTACAGTTCAAAACAGAACCCTACAAAGAGCTCATTTCATTTTTTTTTTTTTAATATACCCTAGTTCCTACTAAATTAAAATAATTATAAACTAATATTAATAATAATAACGCCAAAATTGCGATGAACTAGTTCACCAATCCGCCGTTCATGTTCATTTACTCGTGTGGGCCTAAAAGATATAGGTGGATGCTTGATAGTCACGAATGAAGGTGGGCCCTTAGAGTGTCCATATCTCTCTTAAATCTTTCGGTGCTGATGATAATAGAGTACCGCTAAACGCACGTAATTGGTGGATTTAAATTTTTAATTTTTAATTTAAATTAAGATATAATTTTATGTAAAATTTTTTTATTATAGTAAAAAAAATAAATATAATTTTTTATAAAAAATTTTAATTATAATAAAATTAAAATTAAAAATTTAAATCATTAAAATAAATAAAAAAAATAGTGAGTAAAACCCTACCTGCAAGAACATCAAGTGTGATATATCATGGTCTTGAAGGCCTTTATCTAGTGCCGTACCCTGCGGATGACAAGTACGTATATATGCACTCAATGTAATATTATCATGCCTAACTACCCTCCTTTTATCTAATTACGTAGAACTTACTCAATCCACCCACGCCTTTGTAAAAATAACTTTTTTTAAAAATTTTATTAGTAAAATAACTTTTTAAAAATTTTTATAGATCATTTTATAAAAAATGAGTAAATATTTTTCTTTATAAAAAATAAAAGAATGTCATTTTACTAATTTTACTTTATTAAAAAAGTTATTTTAACATATTGCCCTCCACTCGCTTCTAGTAAAAAAGGAGTAGTGGTATCCTCACGCTCTCAGTCTAGCAGTCGCTTAATAATTTCCTAAGACCATGGGTAAAAAAAAAATGAATATGTCTCATACTTTCGTCAATTAACACCTACGGAATTTAAAATCTCATAAGCTTAAGTCATATTTAACAGATTAAAGAGAGCCATAGATTCAGCCACACGAAGAATAATAAGAATCAATTCCTAAATAATAGATGAGAGAATTTTGATAGATTTTCATTTGTCGTTATGCAGCCGTTATTGGTGGTTTAAGTACCAATTTAAAGTCTAGTTGTTACCCGTAAGATCCCTACCATTTCATGTGTAAATTAAATTCAAATACTTTTACAGAAATAATATATTCGAAATCCCATAATTCGCCCCGGCAAATATCGACATTGTAATATCTTGTAACTCCTTTTTCATGATCTGTTGTTACATCCATATCATGATCACCCTCCAACAATCAATGTTCATCCTAGAAGCCATGTGGAAAGTCACTAATGCATAAATGTCATTTGCTAAGTTCAACCTAATATATACTGTGTAGAGAAACCGTCTCGTTACCATGTGAAACATGTCAATATCATTTGACTACGTTTGGTAGCATTACTAGAGTAATAAAGTAAATGCAGACGACCGATCTCGATCAAACCTTCAATTTGGCAACCTAATTTGAATGTTTTTATAAATTACTGTACCCATAATCATTTCTGTTTTGTACCAAATCCATCAACGTATGGACAAAGAATGGGTAGATTGGAATTCTTGATTTTTCATACTTGGACAAATTTGGTCACTCTTCATTAATTATTGTTGTGGCATGGATGTGTGATGTTTGTTACCCTATCAGTACAAAGACCATAACTAGTTAAAGTGAATTCTATGGTTAAAAAAAAAGTTAAAAAATACTTTATTATATTGACACAATTTTAAATCATTAGATCTTTATGAGTTTGCACTATTTTTTTTTCTTTAATTTTGAAATAACTACTATATTTTCATATCATAGGTAGGTACACACTTAGTACTACCAATAGGATTTTTTTTTTTTTTTTTCATATCATAGGTAGAAATACTTATTTCGTAACTAGGTTCAAGAATTTTGAATGAAAAGTCAGTTTGAAATGGGACTGATAACATTTTTTATGCTAATTTTAACCATTGATTTATCAACTTGAAAAAACAAAGCCTCAAATCTGGATTTACCATCCCACCCTCCCAATGTTTTAAAGCATTTTGAACTAAAATGCACAATGTTTTTGACTCAAAACCTACACTCATTTGATCTCGCGCAAAAATATTCTTTTAATTAAACATCAAAACACAATTTTAAATTTTATTCCCTTTTCAAATCATACATTAACTATATATTCTAATTCCATTTCAGACTACATTCGAACTACACTCCTTAAACTTTTCACTTCAAACCATAAAAATTTAACCATCATGTTTCAAACATTTTAACCAAACAGGCCCTTACTTGTTTTTGCCGGATTAGAAACGCACTCATTTACAATTGAAAACTACGTGACATGATTTCTGGGTGCCCACAATAGAAACACATCATAATAAGTCCAGTAGATGTCTAGACATCTTTTGTCGTTGGTGTAATAAGGTAGGCCCTAATAAGTTGCTGAAATATGTTAAAAAGAAAAAGAGACTCGAAACTGTATAAGGTATAAAAAAAAAAAAAAAAAAAAAAAAAAGCTAGTGGTAAAGGAATGTATACAATAAAGTAATAAAGTGAGGTTCCAAAACCAGCTCACAAACATGACAAAATTATGTAAACCTCTAGTGCACGTATGCATTACATGCTGCCTTAAGATCATAAATCATCCTATTCTCCAACACCAAGCAATCTTTTTAGCCCTTCTCCTTTCCTTTATCTAACTCCATCTCTTTCTGAGCAATCAACTGAAAAGGAGAAGGAAAAACATACCTTTTTAAAAAAAAAAAGAAAACTAAAATGAGAGAACTGCCTGCACCACTGACCCCGCCGCCGCCAGCTCACTCAATCCACGGCCACTCCCCTCCGTTGACATCGCCAACACCGACGTCATGCGAGGGCCACAGTTGCCGGTGGCGGCCCTACTCGGGCACCGGGGACTTCGAGGCCAACGCGGCGATGATCCTCGTCATCCTTCTCTGCGCGCTCATATGCGCGCTGGCTCTCAACACCGCCATACGCTGCTTCCTCCGCGGCCAACGGCCGCAGCAGCAGCAGCAACAGCAGCAGCAGCAACACCAATCAATGACTGGGGTTGGTCATCATGAGCCGCAGCAGAAGGGCAATGCGGCTGCGCTGCCCGCGCTGGTTTTGTACTCGGCGGGGTTAAAGGCGAAGCTGGCGGGGGCGGAGACGGCGGCAGAATGCGCAATTTGTCTGTCGGAGTTCGAGGAGGGGCAGGGAATTCGGGTCATGGGGAGGTGCAACCATGGCTTCCATGACAATTGTATCCATCAATGGTTGTCTTCTCACTCCTCTTGTCCCACCTGCCGCACCGCCTGTCTTCTTCCTTGACAAATTTGCATACAAAACAAGTGTGGTATATAGCTTTTTTTTTTTTTTTGTTTTTTTTTGTTTTTTTCTCAGGATCCTTTTTAACGAAGAACCAAAGATTTCTGTTTAATTAGACTATCCAAGTCTCCTAGAATGATCCTCTTGTATTTAATTAGGAGAGAACTTCTCTTGTTTCGTCTTTTTTTTTTTTTTTTTCCTTGTATGTCTCACTATCTAGTTTTTTGTCTTTTTTTTTTTGTTTTTTTTTTGGAAGCATATTAAAAAAAATCCGTTGAATTTTCTTTACTTCAATATTGGTTTGTTTTAGATCTGCATCTCAATTGGTCTTGGCGTATGTGTCGTTTGGAAAAGAGCTCGGACAGAGTTTGGCACTCTGCTAATTGGTTCTGCAAAATTCCGTGAGAGAATTTTAAGGCTGTTCCGCGACTCTTTTTTTAACTCTTTTTTTAAGTTAAAAATTAAAAAAAAAAAGTAAATCAAATTACAATTTTATTTAAGTTCATATTTTTTTAAATTTAAATTTGAGTTTGGAATTAAAATTTGAATTAAAATTTCTCCTTCAACTTGAGTTCAGAAACTCAAACTCAAATTAATGAACAATATTTTTTCTATTCTTAAAAATGTTATAACTTTTTCGTTTTAATTCTGATTGAGATGATTTTTTTTATGTGTTGACAATGAAAAGACGAATAAAACTCTACCCATATACCATATTAAAATTTTTCATCAGCATTTTAAGTACAAATTCAAGTTTTGACTCACTCAAACACAAATTTAAAAAGATTCTTATCTCAAATCATAACTCAAATGTACACAACCAAACACAAACTCAAGTTATAACTTCAATTCAAATTATAATTCAAATTCAATTTAAAATCTATACCTAAATTATCTAACTCAAAAATTATAAAAGAACAACCCCTTAGTCGATTTTGACAGCGTGCCTAAATGAGATTAAATATCAAACTACTTTCGGTTTATTTATCATTGTACATTAGCTCCACCATCATTTAGCCGCCACCTTATGTGACACGTTTATTTCATGAGAGTTACAAGCGACTTGTATGGATGGATAATCCCAAAATCATATTGAAATGGACTTGACCAATTGGAGTGAACCATCTACTGATTTCTATCCGCAACCAATGATCCACCTCAGGAGTCTTGAATTACTTTACCGATATGCCAACAATATCTATTCTAGGATTTCGCCTTAAATAAAAACTCCTTTCCAAGATGCAAAAACTTTCTAATAAGTCACATAAATTTTCTCTAAATACTCAAAAGATAAAGTGATCATGGTTTATGGTAGTCGAAAGCATGGGAAATTAAAAGAGAATTGCAACCAACAAGGAAGTCAAGCACACAGACAATCGATGTTAAAAGTATTTTCAAAGATTTAAGGGTGTGTTTGGTTGGGTGGAAAAGAATGGAATAAAATAGAATGAAATTCTAGTTTAATGTTTGGTTGAATTTATAAGAAATGAATGATCATTAAAAAGGAATGACCATTCACCCATTTTGAGTGAATCATCATTCCTTCCTCATATGGGAAGAATGACCATTCTAAATTCTTGTTTTTATTTTTTTTCATACTTACCCTTCAAAATTATAATATAATTAAAATATATTATATAGTAATTATATCTTATAATATAATATATTTATAATAATATAATAATTAATTTATAATATAGTGTCACGCCCCCCAAACGGGGTGGGTGACGTGGAGCTCGATTTGGAATTAATAAAACAGGTTCCCAACCGGGCCCCACACTTAACTGCATTAAAATATGAATAAATTACATTACAGAATCCC